AAAGACAGAGAGTAAATTGCACGTGAAGGTGTCTTCCTCCAGGTCCTCTTCAGAATCCAGCTGCCACGGGCCTTCCAGGATTCTGGAAGTTGACCAGAGAAACCCCAGTAACTCCCCTCAGCTTAAGTCTCGAACTGGGAAGCTCCAGGCTTCTGAATCCCCCTCCTCCCTCATCTTTTATAGAGATGGCAAGAGGAAAGCGTCCCCTTCAGCAGGACGGTGTCCAGAGTGGAGCCCTTCAAAGACCGCTCCCGGCCGCCCTTCCTGCCCTTGCCACTGGCCAAGCCACCATCTGTCTCCTTCCCCAGCACTGACACTTCAGACTATGAGAACATTCCAGCCATGAACTTGGACTACAAGAATATCCAGATTCTGCCCCGGAGGCCTGCAGGGCTGGCATGTTCAGGAAGCTGTTTGAAGATCAGAGCAGATCCCTGTCCACAGCATATGAAAACGATGGCTACATGGACATGAGCAGCTTCAGAGCCTTCGAGAGCAAACAGCAGAGCACGGGCCAGCACGCAGAAAGGTACCTGACATTCTATTTCCTTTCTTGTTTGGTAGCTGTAACTATTCAAAAGGCAGCATGGGTGTGGGGGACAGATGGACTTGCTTTCCAGCCTCAGGTTCTGTTTCCCACTAGCTGCATTGACCTGGGGTGAGTGAGTGGCTTTACGTCTCTGAGCCCTAGTTACTTCATCCATGAAATAAGATTCATGCTACCTCACAGCAGATATTTAAGAATATCAGAGTAGATATTCTATGTGAAAGCAGTGTATAAAATGCCAAATATGGTACACGTAAGAGCATTTTTTTTTTTTTTGAGACAGAGCCTCATTCTTGTCACCCAGGCTAGAGTGCAGTGACACCGTGTCGGCTCACTGCAAACTCCGTCTCCTGGGTTCAAGCAATTATCCTGCCTCAGCCTCCCAAGTAGCTTGGATTACAGGTACTCATCACTATGCCCAACTAATTTTTATATTTTTAGTAGAGAAGGGGTTTTACCATATTGGCCATGGTAAAAGGTGATCCACCCGCCTCCCAAAGAGAGCATTTTTATTTACATTATTTGGGGAGCAGTTCTCATATCTCCTAGGTAGATGGCTTTGTGACTCTGCTCTGAGAGTGTCACCAAGAGAGAAAGTTTTAGAAACTTGCCAAACTAAATATCTTTCACCATCAGGAAAATAGCCTAAATTGATATTGATACTTTTTATTGAGTAAATATATGCTGTACTCAATACAGAACTAGAAAAGAAATTTTATTTGAATTGCTTAAGGAGCTAATGGTGTGGCTCACCCCTGAAATCCCATCACTTTGGGAGGCCGAGGCAGGTGGATCATTTGAGTTCAGGAGTTCGAGACTAGCCTGGCCAACATGGTGAAACC